CACGTGGCATCTCTTAAACCGACGTTTTCGACAGAGCGAACGAACGGGCTTACTATTGCCCTAACCGAGGCCATTTTCAATCGAACGTGAAACGTATTACAGAAATCAGATTCGTGAAATGAGTTTATTTTAATAAATATTAAACTGAACTATCCGTCCGTCTGTCGGTTTCTTCCTTATAACGCGCGTGCCTGAACACCTCGAGTAAAACTCTGACGTCACGTGGTCGTTTGCCGTGTCATTGGTCTGTTCCGCAAATGACCTTCAAGAGAGAACTTAACTCTGATGAGAATTATTCAATTATCGTTTGCGTCGCCCGCCGACGCACGGGCGTCCCCTCCCTCGCCTCATTTGGTCCCGGTCTGTGTTCAGGAACGCGATGAACCGTCATTTCGCGAACAGAAGTTAATATTTAAACAAATCACAGCTGCTTCTTAGTCCTTGATTCGCAATCGCCATTTAGTACAACGTAATCGACGTAGGTGACAAAACGTCGTCGAATAAGCACCCTTTTAGTCTAGTCTGTTCGTACGTAAGACAGCTCGTAGAATGCGCACTGTCGCGCGTTACTCAATCTGCAGAAAGAGTTTCTGCAGTGCAATAGTCCGCACGCAACTCTATATAAGAAATGTAATCAGAGCCAGCGGATTCGTGTTTTTAGAAAGAAAGAAAGAAAGAAAGAAAGAAAGAAAAAGTGTGCCCCGTCTCTTCCCTTTTTATTCTGTGCCCCTAAAGGAAACGGAAGTAGATGGCTCTAGTAGCGCTCGGCTCCAGAGACGGCGGCAGCCATTTCTGTTTTCAGTGTTTCGATGATGTAATGGCGTCGCCGCTGATTTAGAAAATTAAACAATAATTACTCGGCCTCAACTTTTAGGGACTCTTCGAAGCGGGATATTACCCGTCCTTATTACAGCCGTACATCCTATGCAACTTATGCTTTTATGCTATCGTAACTATTAGATTAAACCTATGAAGAACGTAGCTCGTCTAAATAGTATTTAAGAATTCAGTCCGTACCGCGGAGAAAACACTACCCTCCACCGTTGCAGAGATCAACCGGTTAACGCCGTTTAAGGAAATACAAATTCAGACCTGCCGATTATAAAAGTAGGTGGTGCATATAGTTACCATTTGGCTTTGAAAAGTTAAACATTAATATCAGTTGTTGCAGATTCAACCGAACGCCGACAAACTTGCATAAACTTTGTTAATTTAGCTCAGAGTAGGATAGCATCTTCGCTGTCATGTGTGACTTCCGTAATTTTACGTCGCGGTCATGAATAATGTCCATCGGTTTTAAACCCAGATCCAGCAAGAAGCCAGTCCTCGCTGTACGGAAAATCTCGTTAGAAAAATTCGCTCTGAAGAACTTGAAGAAGCGGATCTCCTCCTCTCGGGTCGTCACCTCCATCACCAGGGCGATGATCTTCACTCTCACATCTCACCAACTAATAGAAGACAAATTCGTAGGCCTTGGTCCAGGCTGCAGAGTTCAATGCCCAGAATAACCTCGAGGAATCCTGAGATGGCTCAGTGTGGTCCATGAACGTGGCTTGCGTGTGCCTCAATTACGGCGGAGTGGGTGGGAACTAGGAAGGAAGCGAGGACCGTGCAGACGGCAGGCGGGCGACCAGTGTTTATCCAGACACTCCCCGCAAATGCACGCGAGACTCGCTTGTTCCGGAAGGCGTGTTGTCGTTTCTGAACGCCAAGGCGCCAAAGACACGCGTGTTCTTCTGTCATTTTGGGGTGCGAACGAGGAACCCTGACTGGAAGAGACCAGGTGAACCACCTGGGAGCGGATCGGTTGCGCATTGCCGCTGTACTCGCAGAAGACCGTGAATGCGAAGATGAACGACCGGATTATCTCGTGAGAGGCAGGCAACAAGCTAACATTCAGAAGTATTTGCTTTAATGTTGCACGCAGTAGACACGGAAAGGGGAATTGAATTCGGTGGCAAGCAACAACACGAACCAGTGGGGCGCGGGCTTCAAAAATCTGCCTGAGAGCAAAAGTATCGCAAGAAGCTTTGTCGTTTAACCCCTTAAAACCAGTGGTAAGCATACGTACCATATGCCGCAACATTCAGAAACCCCGTGTCTCGTATGATTCTCGATGTAAAAAGCAATTATTTCCTTAAACGGCGTTAACCAGTTGATCGTAGTAATGGTGAAGCGTAGTGTTTACTTCGCGGTACGGACTGAATTCTTAAGTTTCATTTGAAAGAGCTTCGGCTCCAAAGGTTAATTAGCGTTTTAGTCGTGTTATTTCCTTAAACAAGGTTAACCAGTTGATCTTTGTAATGGTGAAGTGTTGTGTTTTCTTCGCGGTACGGACTGAATTCTTAAATAGTATTTGGAGGAACTCTGCACCTCAAATCGTTCCCGCTGGCCAGTGCTTCAAAGCCCCAATTAACTTATAATTGGAGAGCCTCTATCAGCAGCAAATCAAGTTGACGGACTAAGTCTCGGCCGCAACGTGCTTGGCATGGGCGTTCTTTGCCGAAGTGTGTGCCAGAGTCCGCGCTGTTCTGGGCAGCCACAGCGCGATTTAGCACGAGGTCAAAGCGTCCGTGACTTTAAGTCACTCCATTCCCATCTGCAGTTTCACAAACGGCGCGTGGCCGAGCTTAACGCGCCCAAGTTTCAACTGGCATCGAGACCGAAAGCTGCCATTTCCCTCAGCTGTAATAAATTCACACTGCACAGGAGCGCGTGCGGCATTCGACAAATGTCGTACAATTTGATTGTGAATGCGAAGTAAATTGAAGGTTAAAGACGACATCTCTACTCGACGGCCATACAGACAATCGATGGCTGTACGCATGCGCCGGTAGTGAGGTCGGTTGACGGCTGTCGCGCGACCCGTCAGTCGCCGTTCAGTCACCAGAGCGCGCGTACATAGCGACAACAGAGCCGCCCCACGACCTAATCGCGAAGCACAACGAACGGGAGATTATTATGCCCTGACATGGCCGCCAGCAGCCACCACCGTGGGCATGGCCACCACCACCACCACGAGGACAAGACGCACGCGGTTCGTTGCTCTTTTGTTTATATTTGTTTTCTAGTTTGTCATGCGATTTGTTAGTTCAGTGTTGCCAATTGCCAAGGAACAGAAATTATGTAAATACGTCTATGAGGAAGGGCCATTCGGCGAAAATGTGTTACGAAAAAGGGGAACGAAAAAGTGTAACCTGGTTACCTACGAAACATTTCATTACAGTACATTTTATTACATTACATTCAGCTACCACAGACCCATCTTAAGCGTAACTAATTCAATTTAAATAAGCAAAATCTTAATCAAACTTATCTCAATTGTAAAGCATGTATAAAGGAAATATTTAGAATAAAGCCAATATATAAACTTCCTTTCCGTATAGACGTATTTACGTCAAATTCTCCGGAACCGTAGTTCCACTGACAATTTTTTAATGGGTGTTGGGGGTGGGATTTTTTTCCATTCAAATTTAAAATTTCCTCTGCATGGTAAAAACAAGCTTGTCATTTAAATCCTGGGAAGGACAGTGGTAACTATACGTACCACAAGCTTGTACTGTGGTATTTTGTTTACACTCCGTATTTAGGATGTGTCTCTTTATCAGGAGACAGATTGTATGACCCGAATATATTAACATAACGGAGACGCGAAGTGTTTTCTTTGCGGTCCGAGCCGGATCTATGAATGTCTTGGAGAAGCGACAGAATCTGAAGAGACTGGCATTTGTCAGCGTTGATCGATTAATTCAGTTGTCTCTTGGGCACCGCTGTCAATGGACACCGTCGTCCTGACGGCAGTGCACGAAGCCGCGGGTTCAGATGGTGTCGACGGCGTTCCTTTCAAAGGCGAATAATCTGGTTGGTGGCAGGGAAAAGTAGGTTATTTCGGAGAACCATGAGAGTTGTGTGTTCGATGATCCCTTGAGAGAGGAGACAACTCCGACCGTGAAGTTCCCTTGTCCTGTTGATCGCGAGTCCGAAATGTCTCGAAACTTTGGTTCGGTGATCGGGTCCGTTAACAACTCGCAATTGTTCACGTCGCTGAGTTCCGACTTCTGGAGACGAAGCTCCTCATTATGAACTTTCCTGCACCCCCCCTCCCCCCCAATCTTCCTGCCTTTTCTTTGTACCCAGACATCGTCCTCAGGGCCTCGTTCTCGACTGTCATCCGCACAGAAGAACAGACATTGCAGTTTGTGCAACGTATTCCAGTGTTTACGTTCCACAATAGCGGAAGTCAGGATTAAATTTCGAACTGCATGGCCCACGTCATTCCCCAAGTTATTCGAGAACGAAGCCGCTAGCTACTGCTTAAAGCCTGCTCCCCTCTCGCTGCTTAGTCGTCATAGAAATCGGGATCTAGGCCACGTCACTGGGTGTCCGTGGTTCTTTGAGGCGGGAACAGTTTCGCCGCCGCTCAGTTCAGAGTCCTGGCGCTCTGTTTGGTGACAGACGGCTATGGAGGTCTTGCGGAAGAGATGTGTAAGACGGAAGGCGGGCGTTCTGTCCCGGAATTTTTCTGTAGGGAGTGAGGAAACCCACGAAAGGCTCAATGAGGGCAGTCGGTCTTCAGACCGAGGTTCGAACCTGAGACCTCCTGAACATGACGCAGGAGTAAGAAGTACTTGGCGGCGGCCGTGCCATCATAGCTCAGGCGGTTAGCCGTTCGGGTAAGCGCCCAGGTCAGTCCGCGTGGGAGGCGCAGCGGACAACGCGGCTCTGGGACAGGATTTCGGCCAAGTCTCCTTCGCTCGCTCGTCGATACTTCACTCACGATCAGCCCATGTGCAGCGAGTGTGTGTTTATTGAAATTATTTTGCTTTAATTAACGCCGGTTATGTGATTGCGAAGTTAATCGCGCTCGGAAAACGCATGTAAGAGGCCAGTGTGTGGCACTGTTGGACGTATATCGGGTTGGACCGGAAGTCGGAAACGTCCAGGACATCCGGTCTACTAAGCTCCGAGTCCAGTGACCACTGAACTGCCAGACTTTGCAAGCGGAAAGTTTCCAGAAAGACGGATCAGTGAGTCATAGAATTTTTAATTTATTCTGTGCACACGCGGAGGCATTAAGGTAACTGCTCTTCTCAGAACTTCATACGCAGTCCATGAAATTAATTCTTTATGGGAGGTGTGCGCGGTCAGGACTACGGCCATATCTACTAACTAACGGACCAGTAGACGCTGCTAACAGCAAAGCTCGCCGCTGGACCGGTACATCCAATCCAAAACCCATTTGAACGCTCTCATTCCATTTCCTTCGCTGTCTTCCCATTAACCGTTTTCCAAGAGGTTTCCCCACCAAAATTCTGTGTGTGTTGGTTGTATCCCCACCACAGCCCACTGTAGGCACACAGGATTCAATTTCCCAAAATCCCCGGGCGATCAGTACAAATATTTCGTTGAGACACTTGCAAATTTACGATCGTCCCTCAAACTAGGAATAAGGACGCTCCGCGCCGGCCCGCGTCTTATCGGTCGCTGCGATCAGTGTTAATTAATTTGCCGAGTCGCTGCCTCGAAGCTTGAAATGGCGGGTCGCGTAGTCAGTTGTTTCTCTACATCAATTTACATGAAACGCAGTCCGTTTCTACACTTTATTCATTTTTTCGTTTGTTTTCCTGTTGCTAGGTGAGAATAGCCAATGCTCGTAGTGTAAAAGTGACGTATGTTCGCGCCGCTATTACGTTTTTGACAACTGTTTAATTAATAATGCGCTCACTACGCGGCGCCAGGAACCGAATGTTCACAGAGCTGTCAAAATAGAGAATTTAAGCATTTCTTTGCTGAAAATACAAGTCACTCGTCAGTTTTCTTCGTCTTATTTCGGAAATCAGCGCTTAAACTCGTGGTAATTCGACGATCAAGCTATGTTCGCTGTTGTTTCGCGTCTTTTAAACAAATGTAGGATCGTTAATTATGAAGGCAATTTTGTTTTCAACAAATTTAGGATCGTTAATTATGAAGGCAATTTTATAAGACGGGGAGGACAGTGTAGATTCGAGAATAATATTAAAATAGGTCTTCACAAACCAGGGTTTCAGAGTTTGGGCCTGATTCATCTGATTCAATGCAACTTTCAGTAAGCAACATCCTGTGAAAACTTTAAATTTAACTTCGGGTGCCAAACAAGACAGAGATTTCTTGGCTAGATGAGTGACTGTCAGCTTCTCAAGAAGGGGTTAGGTTATTTCACTTCGAGGGGTCAGTGAGAAGTTTGTGTGGTTCTCCTTTGGCGACATTTCACCTAGAATACGCGGTCCTCCAAGTGCGAGTATTGTTTAACTACGCACCCTTCATTATGCAGTGTTAATCGACGTGTTAGTTAGTTTTCCGGCAAACGGAGAGGCAAATTGCGAAGGGGAACTCATTAAACCGGAGTCAGACGGCGTGCGTGCGCGGTCGCCTGCCAAAAGTTGGTCTTTGAGGATTTCGCTCGCAGCCCGTCCGGAAAACAATGTCACAAACTGTGGACAGCCCACAGAAGACCTGCACGGCCCCACCTCCGCCTATACGTGCCAGGTACAGAAAAGTCTGCATATTTAACCTCCGGCGTAATTAAGCTGAAATACAGAAATCTATAAGAAAGAGAAGAAGAAGAGGAAGACGTGGCCTGCGCACTTCAGCTGCGATATCGCTAATGAGCCACAACGGAACTGAATACGAAGTTTCTTTCGTATTCTTGAGGTGCAGCTGAGAGGTCCCGGCCGCTTGTCGTCTCGTACAATTACGGGTTAGGTTGAGTAGACTCGAGGGCTTCTTTGGCGCACTTGAAACAGCCCTGTTTGCACAGAAACCTAAAGAATGTCTCATTTCTCTCACAGAATATTTCCTACAACGCACGACAGCGTCTCAAGACTTCAGACGGGTCCTTGAGCCATCTGGGACTTTTGACAGGTAACAGCTTCGGGGCTCCTGCAAAGTTCGTCGGTTCCTCTCATTCTCAAGGCAGTCGAAGCAACTCCGTGAAATTCAACGGGCAATTATTTCTACCCCCGGCCGCCCTTTAAGACCAAGTGACCCCTTGCAGGTCCCAGGGCCGCGTCCGCCGAAACAGGAAGACAGGAAACTGGCGTCGGGAGCTGAACCCGTGACCCCAGACGTGATCGCGAGGTTCCTTGTTCGATCTCGTTCTGACTGAGAATCTTCGTTCATCGCTCGAGGCCACGAAGCTGATGGAATTGAAAGTGTTACTTCGCTCGCGAAGGAGTTTGGACCAGTTTTTGTTTCAGCGTGTTGCCCGGGGATTTGCGAGATGAAGCCTGGCGCCTAAGTCCTCCCCCACATTCGTACGCGATTCGCGCTGACCTCTTGAACGCATTACGACGAAGTGCCTTCCCGAGGCCAGAACAGTCGGAGGCCTCCAGCCCCGTCCGACGCGCAGTAGCTTACGTTGCGTGTTCCAGGTCGCCGCGGGGCCTGTCCCCTCGATAAGCAATCTCAGTTTGTCAGACCACACGCACGTAGCCACAGTGACGCAGTCCCGTTGATAACAGTGTTATGACTGACTGTTACGAGGAGGAGCCGGGGGGGGGGGGGGGCATCACAAATGTTCATCATCGCGTCCACAAAAGTATGCTCTTACTCTACCCCCGTGGGCCGCATTACTGGAGGGCTCAACCCAGTTTCCCATATTATCTTGGGTGAGCCTTTTCCGATGACGAGTCCGAGCAAGGACGTGGAAGGAAGCGGTTGTGGCGTACTCTAAGGTACTTTAACTATCCGAAGACTTGCCTACAGGGACTGAGGAAAACTACGACAAACTTCAATCAGAACAGCCAGTATAATACATGATATTTTAAATTTACGACGAAGTGAAACGCTAGCCAGACATCTTCTCGGTGGTTTCCGTAAGTCTGAAAGGATCTCGCGATTATTGAGGTTTTCATGTTTGACTAACGAACGCCATCTAAATATCTACATCAGTTGATAAGATGTGGTATGCAGCATATATGTGCCGTTGTTTAATGCACAGGCGTCGTTTACGGAAACACAATTGTTGTGCCGTTGTTGCCTGTACAGGCGTCGTTTACG